GGGGGGAGGGAAGACCGCTGGCCAGAGCCGGGGGGGGGTCTGAGCGCGCAGGAGTGTGCGTTGAATGGCTCGGGAGGGACCTGGCGCCGGGGCAGACCCGGAGTGGGGCGGGGCCCCGTGTGGTGGAAGCAAGTTCAGGACGGAAAGTGCCCGGACCACCAGCACCCGGCGGCGCAGAGGCTTCGGGGGGAAATGTGTGCAACGGCGAAATCCGCGCCCCCCTTCCGCGCCGGTTCCCCCCTGGTCCTTTTCCCGTGCATGGTCCCCAACCACGGGACAGTTTCGCCGTGCGTCATCTGCCAGGTGAGCCGGAACAGTCGGACAAAGAAGAAGCGAGGCCGACGAGCAAATTCGCAGCATATTGGCCAATAATATTGCGCCAAAAGAAAAAAAAAAGCAGACCGCCCTTCCGGTCCGGCGGCCACCGCATCCGGCGATTGGGGGGGGGGGGGAAGGGAGAGCCGGCGGACCCAATCCCCCCATATGCAGAGAGTCCCTTCCTTCGGACCGGGAGAGGACCGCCGGGGCTCGCGGGCGAAGCCGCGCCTCGCCCCTCTCGTCTTCGCGGCCCCCCCCCCCCCCCCCGGGGGCGCGCGGAGAGGGGGGCGCCCAGCCGTTCGCAATGTTGACCACCCCAGGAGCAGGGGCAGGAACAAGGGGCGAAACGGCCGGAGCTGGAGACGGTGAAACGGCCTTTTTTCGCCAGGCCGACACCTCGCCCTGCTCCCCCTCCCCCCCGTGCTCCCCCCTGCTCCTCGGATGGACCTACCGTGCTCCCCCCGGCATCGGACCCGGCGCCGGGGGCGGGTGTGTGCAGCATGCCAGAGGGGAAGCGTTCGCTCGCATTTTCCCGCTCACTCATTGCGCCAGGCCATGCCTCACGCTAGTCCTGTCGCGGGATCTCCGTCTTCTCGCCGGAGTCTGGGGCATGCCGGCGACCCGCGCGCTCCTGCAGCAATCGCCGGCAGCTCACCCGGCCCGGCCCGTTCCTGGGCCATCATGGCGGCGAGACCCAGGCTGCATCCCCCCCTCCCCGCCCCTTCCACCCACCCTGCGCGGTGTTGTCCTGCACCCCCAGACGCACGGGCAGGAGGGGCAGGGACGGCGAAAAAGGATCGGCACACGCCCGTAGGTCCTCCGCCCCCCCCCCCCCCCCTGCCCCAATAGAAGGGCGACCCGGCCGCCCATCTCCGGCCGCCTCCGCGCTGATGTGTCCCGCCCCGCCCCGCCCCGCCACCGCACACAGGCGGACGAAGGGAGGAGAGACACACACGCACACGCAGAGGGAGGGACCATTCTCTTCCCACCCCTCGGCCTGTTGGCCGCGGCGAAAAAAAAAACCCAGGGTTCGAGGGGCGCTCATCACACCAAGGAATGCACTCTTATTGGGATCACCTGAAATAATGCGTGATTCTCGTGGTCCGGTGGGACTTCCCCGTCGCCGGGGCGTTCCCCTCGGTTTCGGAGATCGGCACGGCCGGGTATGGATGCTGCCGCGGCGGGGCCGGCATCGGCCGCCGGGGGGCGGCGACGCCCAGGAAGGCCGCGATGCCCGGCTGCCGTGCGGGATCCACTGGCTCCTGGGCCGAGAGCTGTTGCTGCTGCTGCTGCTGCTGCTGATCTTGGAGGAAAGGGGGTGGGAGGTCCTGATCCGAGACATGCCTGATATTGCACTCAGGGCAGAGGGTGTGCTGGTCCTGGGCGGAGAACCTGGTAGGGGCGCGAGGGAAGAGGGAGTGAGTGAGTGTGTATGCGTGTGTGTGTGTGTGTGTGTGTGTGTGTGTGTGTGTGTGTGTGTGTGTGTGTGTGTGTGTGTGTGTGTGCGTGTGTGTGCGCGCGCGCGAACGCGCGCCCGATGTCAGTATGGTGGATTGCCTCTGGATGGGACTGGGCAGGGAGGCCCATTGGCAGAGGTAAAAGTACCTCTGGGAAATGCACCACTTGCAGCAGGCACACAGGCAGATGGTGCACCCGGCCAGACATTCTCCACAGGTGGACTTCAGGCAGTGTGTGCAGTCGGTCAACTCCGGCTGAGGCGTGCGGCAGGCATGGCATTGTGGCGCCGGGCCCGGGGCCGGGCCATCTGTCGGTGCAGAGTGGCCAAGTGCCAGCAGAGGCGTCCGTCAGTTGATCTGGGGGTGTGGAGCAGGGCACGGTGCTCTGATAGGCCAGCTAGAGGTAGATCGCGGCAGGACCCCCCCCCCCCCCCCCCCCCCCCCCCTCCGCCCCCCTGCCCCACAAGAGACGTACTGTTCTTTCGCCGCCGATCCTGGTCGGCAAAAAATCCTCCAAGCCCTGGCGCGCCCTCAGCCGAGGGACCCTCGCAAGCAGTGGGACATAGTCCGGGCATTTCGGAGCGAGCTCGTTTCGAGGAGTGCATGGCCAAGTGAGAGCCGAAAAATGACCGGAGGCGGCGGAACAGCCAGAGAGAGAGAGAGGAAGAGAGAGGGAGCGGGCGAGCAGCGGGGCGCAGACACAGCAGGCAAGGGCGGAAGGGGAGACAAGGGAGGCATCGTTGTACTTCGGCGCACGGGGGAGCGCCTGTGCGCCCGGACACACGAGCCTCTTCTCGTCCCGGGGCGCGGGGGGTGCCCCATCCGCACGCGAGCAAGCGCACACACGCACACACGCCCACAGGCACATCTGGCGCCTCTGCCCAACGGACCCAGGGCCGGTTTCCGATCTCACATTCGGCCGCCGCCGCGAGCAGCGCCCTCTCGGTTAACACCAGCCCCGCCGGCAACCGAGTTAATACCGCCCCTCGTGAAGTTTCCCCGGTGCCGGATGTTTCTGATTCCCCGGCCGCGCCCCCGGGGAGCGGCGGGGGGAGCCCCTGTTCTCTCTCGCTCTCCCGGTCGCTCTCTCGCAGGAGGTCTAACAAAATGGCCAACCGCGGGTGCTCCCCCCTCGCCGCGGCCCCGGAGGAAGGCGCCCAACTGGAGTGCTGGAGTGCTGGCGCCTGGCGAGCGCCGGGCCAAGGTCTGCCACCCGCAGGTGGTTCTCCCTCTGCCCAGACTGCTGGCCTCGGTCCCCGGCCCGGTGCTTGGGCCCTCTGCCTCCCGGCGCCCGGGGAAACCCTGCCCCCTTTGTTCTTTGGCTCCCCGCGCCCCCCGCCCCCCCCCCTGGAAGAAAAGTCGCCTTCTTGCTGAGACCGGGCCAAGCACCAGACAATGGCGATGGGGGGCGGGGTGTCTAGCGTGTCACACAGCAGCAATGTTTCCCCGCCCCCTCGGCCTCCGGGCTGGTGCGCGGCCCTCAAAAGCTTCGGGCAAGTGTAGCAGGGGACGGTATCTCCCAACTCCCACCGGATCCCAGGTAATTCCTTTGACAGACTCCGCGCGCCCGGCTGGCTGTGTTTTTCGGCTCCCTCACTCGCGCAGGTGGGGCGGTCGCCCCGGCCAGCCGGTTCCCCCAGCCCCTCCCCCCCCCC